TGCCTTTTTGATATGCTCGCCGAAGGGGTCGGGCACTGCGTTGCCGTGCGGCGCGGAGTGTTGCGAGCCAGGTAACGCGCGCCCGTTGTGATTCGTCGGCGCGAGCGACTGCATTTCAGCACCCATTTGCCGGAGGGCGCCGGGGAAGGCGGTGGCCCAGCGGATTTCTTTGTCGCAGAGGGGGTTCGTTCCAGGCAGGCAAATGCGGAGGAACATTCTGGAAATCAATTTCGCCGCCCAGAAGATTTCCCTGACGTCGCGCTGGGTGTGCATTCCACTGTCCGGCTTCCGCGCGGCATTCCCCAGCGTGGACCACTCCTTCATGTGGGAGTCGCTTGAAGTTTTTGAACTTGCACAAGATTGTATACGGGCGCTGAGAATAAAGTATATCCAGAACAGGCATGAAATCATAGTCGGCAGCCCGGTTTTTCGACGGCATCAGTGTGGAACGCGGGGTCCGCCAGAGCTGCCCATTACCTCCAGTGCTAGTCGCAATCTGCGCGGATATCTTTCTTCTGGAGCTCTCGAGACATCTTCCTGGGCACGGAGTAGCTAAAGCATTCGCAGATGACGCGGCTGCAGTAGTCGCGACTACGCAGTGGCGGTCCCAGTAATACGCAAGTTGTTCTCAACATTTGGCAAACAGTTCTCGTGGCCCAAGACTGTGCTTATCAATTCGTGGCGCTTCCAGTCGGAGCCCAACGGGAGGTCGCTCATTCGCGAGCTGGCGCCCCAATGAGACATTCAGATTTCCTCTTGCGGAAAAAACCTCGGCTACTGGATCGGGCCCGACGCCGACAACCTTTCATGGTTGGGCGCAGAAGCACCTCGGACTACATGGGTCCGATTTCTTCCTGGGCGCGACGTCGTCTGGCCTCGGGCCCAGGGAGTTGGACCATGCCTGCAGATTTATTTTTAAAGAAGCTTTCGAGTTCAAATGCTGCCTCGCTCACTCTGGCTTCGTTGCGCGGGCCGCCAAGCTGCGACTGCTTGGAACAATCGCCCCTGTTTTCAGAGATCGCGCCGATGAACTTCGCATGTTGGATGAAAGTGTGCTGCGCGGCCCGTTCGGGAGCTGGTACGACCATTGCTTATTTGCAATCCTGCACCGCACTGATTAACAACTGGAGAAGGACGGGATCAGCCGCAGCCGAATCCAGGGGGTGCTGAACGGCACCGATGGGAGAGGCTCAGCCAGCTTCCGGTCCATTGCAACCGATCTCACCAGTCGTCGTTGCCGTCGAGACCTGTCGCAGCCCATTGCTCACAAGCTTGCTCAGTGGAAGCTTGCAGGCGACGAGGCGGCACTGGTGTCGCGTTCGGACTTTTGCATAGGTGGTGCCCACCCAGGGTGGCGTCGGAACACCTCGAGCACGTTGTTCAATGGCTGGGGCACCCGGCGTCGTATGAGGCGCTCGGAGAAAAGGTTGCGTGGGCGAGCCGTGGCACTGTTTACTCGGATGCAAGAGCGGCGACGACAGCATCGGGCACTACAGCGCTACAGTGCATGTCCAGCTGTGTGGAGCCATGTGCAGCGCGCCAGACCCATTGGACTTGGCGTGAGAGCGCCTCTGGCGGTGCTTTCATTCTTCTTGCTGGATCCTGGTTCATCCCATGAAGATGTTGTACGATTAGCTCTAGTCAATTACGGCTTGTACCGCGCCGCCAATTACCTCCGTTGTAGTCCAACTGCAGGAGTGTCGACCGGGAAATTACATTCCCGCTGGGTCGGGAGGGGCGCGGAGAAGTCGCGTGCTAAACGACATTCTCTATGACGACTTCTGATTCCATACGTTGCTGCCGATTTTTGCTCCCTGCCCCGTGCGGGGCGGCGGAGTTTTTGTTTCTTGGGCTGAAAGGCCTATGCAAGAGCAGGCGATGCCGTTGCGGTGGTCGGTACGGTGCGGATGCCATCTTCAGTGCTCTACGCATTTCTTCGATTCTCTTGTTGCCGTGCTTGCGTGTTTGTGTGTGTAGAGCTGAGCTCATGTGCTCTTGCATCGCCTCAGCTTCGCTGTCTTTCGGTATAAAAAGAAGCAGGCCCTGCGCAAGACAGATATCACGCGCCCAAGAGGGGGTTGGAGCGGGGGGGCGGGAAGGTGCCGCTGCTCAAAACATCATCGCATCTGCGGAGCCGCCGCTCGGGAAATTCTCGCAACCGCGGCGCCGCCGTTCGAGACATCCTCCCATCCGCGGCGCCGCCGCAGACGCGGCACCGCCGCTCGGGGCATCCGCACATCCGCGGCGCCGCCGCTCTAGACATCCTCACAGCTGCGGCGCCGCAGGTCGTGACATCCTTGCAGCCGCGGAACCGCCGCTGGAAACACCCTCGCAACCGCAGGGCCGCCGCCGCAACTCACTAGGACTCAACCACATCACTGCCTCCCTCGGACCCTGCGCCAGACAGATAGCATACGCCCGAGAGGAGGCCGGGGGGGGGGCGGGATGGCGCCGCCGTTCGGGACATCCCCGCAGCCGCGGAGTCGCCGCCTGGGGCATCCTCGCAACCGCGGCGCCGCCGCTCGAAACATTTGCACATCCGCGACGCAGCCGCTCGGGGCATTCGCACATTCGCGGCACCGCCGTTCGGGACATCCTCGCGGACGCGGAGCCGCCGCCCCCCGGGCCCTGCCTCCTCTTGGGCGTGTTGTTTCTATGGTCTGTCATCAGAAAGGACACGCGCTCTATTTGATATCGCCCGGTTTGAGGTATGGAGGGTCTTGGGTGTTAATTAGTTCGGCGCATTTTCGCTATATCTGACAGTCCCCCGGTATATGTCGTCCCAGCATGAGGCCGCGCAGCCGAAAAGGCGAAACCCTGGGGCCTGTCTCCTACGGCCGCTCGCGCAAGAAGCGCCGTGAGTGGGGCCCCCGATCGCGCGTGCGGGTCGACCGGGCGAGCCGCGCCCGCCCTGTTCGCGTGCGTCCCCTGCGCCCTCCCCCCTTAATTGCCCCCGCGGGTGGGCGCGCAGGCGCCGCGCTGTGCTCGGGGGGCCGTCGTGCCCGTTATGGGCAAGCCGAGTCCGAGAGCCCATCGATCCGCAACGGGCACCTACACGAAACCGCCGCGCCAGGCCAGGGCCATCCTGGGCCTCGAGAGGATGAGCAAACATTCTGGCCTCGGGCAGGATGGCCCAGGATGGCCCTGGCCAGGTGCTGCGGTCTGTGTGCGTGCCCTCGGCTGGTGGCCCTTCTGCCATGTGCCAGTCTTACCGCTTTGTCCCAGGAAGGCTTGAATTTTCAATGTCCCAGTGAAGCACCTGCGCGCAACGAACGTTTTGAAGGTCAGAATGGGCGTCATCCCGGTGGCACGTATGATTCATGCTAGTGTACGTTTGCGTTTATCTAGCGATCTTATGGTGGCCTTTGGCCCAGTCCGCCGACGTGCTTGGGATGTGGATTGGAGCCCTTCTGGATGCTTTTCGGCGTCTCTTGGGAGGTTTCCTGGGGCGTTTTGACAGTTTTTTTGGGGGTCCTGGGGGGTTTTCTGGGAGGCTCTTGGGGGCCTTTTGGGGGCCTCTTGGGGGCCTCTCGGGTGCCCCTTGGAGTCTTTTGAGGGTCTGTTGGGGACCTCCTGGCGGCCTCGGAGGCCATCTTGGGGTTCAGGGCTTCCGATGTTTCTTCACAGGCCGTTTTGGGGCGCCTCTTGGTCCGGCTTGGACGCTGTTGAGACCGAAACGGCAATAGTGCAGACGTAGTGGGCTGGCCCCCCAGACTTCAAGAGCTTCAGGCCCTGGCCTTAAAGAGCGTTTGCAATGTCCAACGCAGAGATTTCGAAAAGACCCGATGGCTCGCCAGTCACTGGCTACGGCACGGGTGCGTATCTATGCCCCTGTGGGACCCGCTGCGGGACAACCGCGGAGCAAGCGTGCGGGACAACCTGGGGACAATCTCGAAGCAACTTCGTGATACTCGCGGGACAACTGTGGAATAACTGCAGTGCAGCCTCGCGGGATAATCGCGAGACAGCCATAGTGCGATCACGGAACAGCAGCGGCACAATTTCCAGGGATCTCTTGAAAAACGGAGGGGGAAGCAAAGTTGTCGAGGATGCCCTTGGCTGCGGTCAACCATCACCCCTTGCCCGCTCGCGCAGCTTCGCCTCGCTCGCGCGCGCGGCGCGATGCGAATCAAACTGAAACTGGTTTCTCAGTTGGTTCCACTCCACCCGCGCCCCACGACCTCCAATCAATCGTCGGGCAACCAATCGCCTCAAACGCGCAAAGGCAGCAATTAGGCATAGTTGTGATCCAAGGTGCGCAGATATTACCGAAAGGGGCGATTTCGAACATGTGGGTTCAGCCTCTTCTTCTGCAAGTAGTGTTGGTCCAGACCCAAGAACGTGCCATCGCGAAGCTAATTGATCCATTGCAGTGTGTTTGAGAACGCCACCAGGCCTGATTTAGGGAAGGTCCTTCGGGAGTCCTGCGTGGGTCCTGGGATCCCTGGCTCTGGAACGTCTTGGGCCCGACCTGAGCCCATCTCCGAGCTGTCTTGGGATCGTTTTCGAGCGTTTTGGGTACAGGCCTATCGTGTGGGCCGTCTTTGAGCGTCCGGGGGCCATATTGGACCTTCGTGGGAGTGCTCTGGGACCGTTCGAGAGAAGTCCTGTGGCTTCTTGAAACCGTTTCGGGTAGTTTTGGGCCTGCTCACAGAGCTTACATACATTCATTGAGCTTCATTGAGTCGCTATAGTTTTGGAGATTGTCAGGTGTGCCATTGCGAGTCTTAACGTTTTTTTTTGATTTCTCGTCGCAGGAACCATTGCAAGAGAAGTGTGCTGCATACGAGCTCAGCTCTTGATTATACCAAGTAACCAACCTTGCCTCAGCTGCTTTCGATTTTTGCGCTTTATGAGCTGTCTGGTCCGTCTGATGTGTGGAGACTCGTTGTCAATTGCTCATCTGCGTATTGGCATGCACGAGCCGCTCGTGAAAGGTCGGAGGAACAATTTGCACAGCTTGCGCGTGGCTCTTGCAACTTATCGTGCCTGATGCCACCAGGGCTCGCTAAGGGAGCTTAGGTGGCTTGCACTTTGGCCTGCTGGTGGAGGTTCCAACGGGGGGTTATGTGCGATGCGTGAGCCAGTTGTCTCCATGCTTTTCATCAATGTCGTGGCGTCACCGTGCCAAGACGACTACCAAGCCAAACGTACGCCGATTGTTTATTCCTCCTGGTTTTGAGATCTGGTATGGTTTGAGATCGAGCAATGTCACTCGCACTAGCAAACATTGGACACTGATGCCTCGTGGCATTACGAGACTAGCGCTGATGTCGCGACCCGCAAGGACATCACGACAATGTTTCGCACGACTGCTCAGTTGTGCGTTTGCCCAGTGGTGATGTGTGGACTCAGTCGAAGTGTGATGGGGTGATGACGACGTAACGATGTTGTTGGCAGTGGCGATCGCTTTGGGAACGAATATGCTGCTGAACGATGCTGTTGCTGAGCTGTAGTCGTACGTACCGCAATCCATGGCGATGGTCGCTCGCATAGTTAAATCGCAGCGGTGGTATCTTTGCACCTTCGGCATTGAATTCATTCAGACATGGTTGGGTGGTGGAACGGGGCTGAGTGCACAGAGTTTGCGAGGGTCTCAGAAACATCACTTCTATTTGCCTATTCACCAGTTGTTTAACAACTTATCCTGCACTGACCCAAGTACCAGCTAACTGTCTCACTTAGCTGAACTTAGATTTGCGCGAGGAAAGAAGGGGAAGCATCAGGGGGCACGAGGGGACACCATGGGGACACGAGTGGACGCGGCGGGAAACAAGGGGGGCAAACGCAGGGACGACCCGCTGAGCTAGGCGAATGTTTTTGGGATGTGGTCTCGGTGCACCCGTGGTCGGACACTTGAGGCCCTTCTGGGATCCTTTTGGGGCTGGAATCCTCGTGGGCCTATCTTGGAGCCTTCTTGCGGCCACTCTCAGGGCTTCCTTGTGGCCTCTTTTGACCGCTTGGAGGACGCATGGGGCGGCGGGAGAGTCAGCTTGGTGCCTCCCAGAAGCCATGTTGGGCGAGGAAGGATGGTGAACCAATGGTTTTGGGCGTGTAGCCTCGCAGGGGCAGGTCTTGGGCCCCTTGGGGACTCTCTCAGGGTCCGGCGGGCGTCGTCGGGGCCACTTTTGGAGGCCGTCGGACCACCTGGGGAAGTCTTGGGGCCGTCTCGAGCTGGCCTTGAGTCGTCACGAGCTGTTTCCGAGGGCCTCCGTGGCCCGTCTTCGGGTCCGTCGGGGCTGCCTGGCCCAGAGGTCCCGCGGGGTGCTGCAGGGCCTCCGCGATCGGCCGTCCGCCGGGGCGCTCGCGCGCACGTGGCCTGACTGCTTCCGAGGGGGTCTCGCGAGCAGATGGGGTCAGGCGAAACAGCACACTGATGCTGACAGCATCAGTGTCGGGGCCGTTTACCAGATTGCCAGACTGGCGCCAGATTGGCTCTCGCCAGATTAGATCAGATCGACTCCCTCGCCAGATTGCCAGATCGGACCCGCCAGATTGGCGCCAGATTGGCTTCGACTACCCAGCCTGTGGAGTGTGTCCAGCCTGTCAGATCGCACATGATGGGCTCGAGACAACTGATCAAGCACGGCAGCGAGTCGGGTGTGCCAGAATGGCGGCAACGATGCGTTTACATGGCCGCGCGCTTGGGCAAGTGCTGACCCGGGAAAGTGATCACACATTGCCACAACATTAAAGGCGACAACGGTGATGATTATGGTAATGTCCATGTGAGAGAAGATGATTCAGGCTTTACTCGACACTGTTACCGCAATGAAGGTCACACATACAACCATAATAACACCAAAGCGTGGATACGACGTTTTGACATTGAATCGAGGTTTGGAGAGCGTCTTTAGCCAACACGTGATGCGTCGTAATTCATGCGCAAGGCGGTCCGTGGCGAGCCCATGGGTTGACAGTGAGTATGGCTCGCGTTGTCGATGCGTGGCCGCTTGTAGGCGAATTTTCAGCAGACGACATTGTACGGTGAGAGTCTTCTCTGCAAGCAGTGGCATCTACTAGGGAGACGGAGGACATCGGTTTGAGAGCATGGGCAGGCCTTTGACAGTACGAGCTGGATCCGGGTCCATCACTGCGTGTCGAGCGCACGTGTGATCCCTCTCCACGCTTGTTCGCCCACGAAGCAGTCTCCACTGCACGCGCATGCGTGCCAGGCACGCGATGGAGGCAGCACGCACGCGAAAAGCTCTCCAGTGATCTTGCCTTTGATGGGTAGTCGAGGGAGGACATCGCAGACCTTGCTGTCGAAGACGAGACACCGCATGCACACAAACTTTTGGCGCTCGGCACGGGTTTCTTGGATCCGCGCTGGGCCCCCCCTGGCAGGGCCTCGGGCGCCGCCCCTGGCGCGCCTCCTCCTCCTCCTCCTCCTCCTCCTCCTCCTCCTCCTCCTCCTCCTCCTCCTCCTCCTCCCCCTCCTCCTCCCCCTCATCCCCCTCCTCCTCCTCCTCCTCCTCCTCCTCCTCCTCCTCCTCCTCCTCCTCTTTCTCTATCTGATGGGCAGCCGAGGGAGGATGTCCTAGACCTATCCAGGCGACCCGTGGAGAGGGGCCGAGCGGAGCGGAGGCACTGCCGAGCAGATAGAGAGGCCATGTCGGCCACGTTCGACGCCATCGACCGCAACCACGACGGCGGGAGGGGCGGAGGTGGACGGTCCGGGGTGGGGCGGGATGGCGAGTGATCAGGACATACCGAGCAGGAGGAGGAGGAGGAGGAGGAGGAGGAGGAGGAGGAGGAGGAGGAGGAGGAGGAGGAGGAGGAGGAGGAGGGGGAGGAGGAGGAGGAGGAGGAGGAGGAGGAGGAGAGGAGGAGGAGGAGGATGAGAGGAGGAGGAGGAGTAGGAGGATGAGCAGAAAGGAGGAGGAGGAGGAGGAGGAGAGGAGGAGGAGGGGGAGGAGGAGGGGGGAGGAGGAGGAGGATGAGGAGGAGGAGGTTGAGGAGGAGGACGAGGAGAAGACGGAGGAGGAGAAGGAGGAGGTGGGAGGTACTCGTCGCCACCGCTGGGTTCGCCTCGAAGTCCTGGTCGGAACGCACCCTGGGCGAGGTCTGGTGAGGCGTCCCAAATTACAGGTGCCTGCGCTCGGACTCTCGACGGTCCGCGCGGATTTCTTGGATTTCTTTGGTGGGTGGTGGATTCTTTGGCTCAAGTGCCATTTCGGCTGAAGCGCCCCTGGAGGGCGAAGGCTACCTGCGCTTGGCACACAAAACACATCAGCATCCGAGCAGGCTTGACAGTCCTTTCGACCAGGGCATATCGACATCGTAGCACGTTCCAGGTGTCTGCGCTCGAAGCACACGCCACGGCACAACCATACACCGTGATCGCTCTCTTCTCCACTGCTTTGCCGATCGGCGCGGGCTCTCGCCCTTCCGCCGCCCCGTGGCGTAGACCTCGGCTGTTCTCGGCGCCTGCCGCGAGCAGGCATATTCTCCCCCATACAGTCGGGGCGCTGAAGAAGGAACCCTTTGCGTTGGGGAGGGGCTCGGTGTTCCTTGATTGGTCCACACCTTGCCTGAGGTTTTCCTTCAGTTGTCGAGGGGAAGTCGAAGTTTAACTTATGGAAATAAGGCCTCGTTCCTTATTTAGGGTTCCTTAGGTCAACGCCTCGACTGGTGGACGCACTGTTGCAAACAGTCGAATTAAGCAGTGGTCCAGAGCTGGACCCCCCCCCCTCTCCCCCCTCCCTTTCGGCCAAATGTCGAAACGCCGAGCAAGACAACGCTCACAACTTTCGACGGTCCGCGCGGATTTTTCGGATCCGCGCTGGGCCCCTCTGGCGGCATCTCGGGCGCCGCCCCTGGCGCGCTCCGCGCGCCAGGGAGGGGGTTTCAATCGCGGATGCAAGACATCTGCGCAGACCGTCGAAAGTTTATGTTTCTGCCGTTTTTTTCGCTCCTCTATGCGCGAAGCTCCGCCAGCGTGCCAGTCCAGTACTCTGCGCGGCACCCCGTCGAGAATCGCTGGGGTGAGAAGCACACCGTGGGACACCATGCGACACGCTTGTCCGCAGACCAGAGAAGGCACTTACGCGTGATAGTGGGCTGTCCCTGGGCCCCGAGAGCTGTGACATGCAACGCCCTTGTTCGCCACGTCGCGGAGGTTCGCCACGTGAAGGGCTCGCCTCTCCAGTCGTCAGAAGGCCGTAGCACGTGGCAGTTGAAGTCCTTCCCATGGTCCAGAGGGCTGCAATTTGTGGCATCGGGCTTTCGTTTGCCTCCACGGGGGCCGCTCGAGCTTTCTCGGCCTCTTCTGACCGTGCTGTTTATTCTTCTTTACGCGTCGCGTATCCTCACTAGCCCGTCGAGAAAGCCTGCCAGTGATGTCTGACGGGAAACGGAACGACCAGACACATTTGGTGAAACAACGCTCCGCTGATCCATGGAGAATGGGGCTTGAGAGGATGATGATGATGATGATGATGATGATGATGATGATGATGATGATGATGATGATGATGATGATGATGATGATGATGATGATGATGATGATGATGATGATGATGATGATGATGATGATGATGATGATGATGTGATGATGATGATGATGATGATGATGATGATGATGATGATGATGATGATGATGATGATGATGATGATGATGATGATGATGATGATGATGATGATGATGATGATGATGATGATGATGATGATGATGATGATGATGCTGCTGCTGATGATGATGATGATGATGATGCTGTTGCTGCTGCTGCTGCTGCTGCTGCTGCTGATGATGATGATGATGATGATGATGATGATGATGAGGAGGAGGAGGAGGAGGAGGAGGAGGAGGAGGAGGAGAACGAGGAGAACGAGGAGAAGGCAAACTGTTTCTTGGGGCCCTCGTGGCGAGCTTTTGGGGCGCCATTGGGCCCTCAGGGTCGGCTTGGAGCCCTCTTGGGATCCCTGGAGGGTCTCTTGAGGCCATCTTGGAAGCTATCCATCAAACGAGAGGGGGTCCTCATTTCCATCTCCCCTGGGGTCATCGAACTCGCCTCCTGGGTACTCTTGGTGCCATTTTGTGGGCCTCTTGGGCTCCTCCTTGGGGCTCTCTTGGACCATCTTTGGGCAATTTTGAGGCCTCCAACGCGTATCAGAAGCGAGAAGGCGAGAAGGCAAGCATCATTGATTTTCCCCAGGTTTTTGAAGGAGTTTGGCCTCTTGGTCCTGAGGGGTCTCCGAGAGTTTCTGGAACCGTCTTGTGGCCCTCGCGGGGCCTCTTGGAGGTATGTCGGAAGCTATCTTGAATCATCTTCGGCTATCTTGAATCGCCTTGGAGGCCATCTTGGAGCATCGGGAGCCCTCTTGGAGCTGTCTGGGGCGAAAGCTGACCCTATGCCACCTCGCGCCCCCCCCAGCAAAAACCTCAGGGAGAGAAGGGGGAGGGTATCCCCCTCCGAAGGGAAGAGGTCTTGGAAGAGGAAAGAGAGAACTCGTTTTGGGACCACCTTTGATCGATCTTTGGCTATCCTGGAGCCGTCTTGCGGTAGTCGGGGGTCGTCCTGGGGGTCTCTTGGGCCGTCTTGGGGCCACCGGGGGCCGCTCGGGGCCTCTTTGGAGGGCCGCTGGGAAGACTCCTCTGGTGCTTCCAGGGGCTCCTTGCGGCCTTCAGGGGCGAAGGTCAGTGCGACGCGAGGATCGGCAACACGCCAGCATACTTATACTATATGTGCGTCGCCCCCCCAGGGGCGACGCGCGCACCGAGAAATCTTATAGTATATGCGTCCTGGCGGGCGCTTTCTGGCCACACCGCTCGGGAAACGATATACTACAAGATGGGTATACTATATGTTCGGGTCGGACGCGCGCCTCCAAGGAGGACATATAGTACTAGTATGTCCATGTGCCTTCCATGAGGAAGCGTGATCGTTTCTTCCATGCCTTTTTGGGTTCTCCGTGGCAGGGACCGCCTGGGACGTCGGGCCCGTCGGGGGCCGCTTCGTGCCTCTCGGGGGCTCTCTTCCGGGTGCCGTTCGGGGGCCCTTGTGTTCTCCTGGGCCGTCTGAGGGCGCTGGGGGGCGGGCCTTGGACCATCTTAGAGGGATTCTCTTGGGCCGTCTCGGGCGCGCTCGAGGTTGCCTCGTGCCTCTTGGGGGCGTCTTTGCCAGTCTCGGGCCCGCCTAGGGCTCTGGGGAGGTACCTGGGTGGGGATGCACGCGCAGGCCTTTGGAACACTCTGGAGCCCAGCCAGCCAGGCAGCCTGGGCATTCGGCTGCCTACCTGCGTGCTCAAGGGGCACGGTGGTGGAGACATATCCGAAGCGGACACCATGACACAAACAGACTTTCGGAGGTCCGCGCGGATTTCTTGGATCGACTTTGGGCCCCCTGGCGGCGCCCCGAGCACCCATCCAAGAACTCCGCGCGGAGCTCCGAAAGCTTCTGCTGATGCAGTTTGTTGGTTCCTCCAGAGATGGCGTATGGTTTTTTTCCTACGTGGTGGTCCAGTCTGACAGGGACGACGAGGAAAAGGAGGAGGAGGAGGAGGAGGAGGAGGAGGAGGAGGAGGAGGAGGAGGAGGAGGAGGAGGAGGAGGGGGAGGGGGGGGGGGGAGGGGGAGGGGGGAGAGGGAGGGAGGGAGGAGGGAGGGAGGGAGGGGGAGGAGGGAGGGAGGGAGGGAGGGAGGGAGGGAGGGAGGGGGAGGGAGGGAGGGAGGAGGGAGGAGGAGGCCGTGCGGTCTTGGTCCCCAGCACGACGCACCCCGGTGGTTGCCCGCGCCCGCGCGAGCGCAGCGCCCCGCGCCCCCGCCACGGCAGCAGAGAGAGTCCCTCCTTGCCGTCGGGGCTGAGGTCAATCCGCGCACCACCGCAGCGCGTGGGCCCCGCCGCGAGTCGGGGGCGGCCAACAGTCCCCAAGGGCTTGACGATTTTCCGCCAATCTACCTGTGGGGATCGAGCCCGATGAGCTGAGGTCAATGGAGAGAGATCGAGGTACATCTGGGTAAGTCGTGGCAAGTCCAGGTGAATCCAGGGATCTCCAGGGAATTTCTGGAGGGACGGCAGAAGTCGTGAAGCCCTTGACGAAAGATGGGGGTGATGACTACAGTCAACCCGCATATCAAGGATGAGCAACCTTCCAGGTTGCCCTTGCGTCCTTCCCCTTCAGCCCATCCTTGGTCGCTTTTGCTGGCCGCGCTCCGCCCGCAAGAAGTGTCGACGCGGCCTTCCAATACCCTAGCATTATGATGTTCCAACCTATTTTAGCCTCGACCACCAGAAATGATTTCGAGCTCCAAGGAAGTACCGCAATTGAATGTTTTTCATGTGCCGGGCCCTGGGAGGCGATATTCGTTCGACACTGCGCTAGCGTGTCGGGCAGACACTGTTTATATACTGTTCTGGGGCTCGAAACTGTTGCTGAGATGGAGCCCTTGAGTACGATGGGAGCATCATAGCCCTAGCATCTTTCTCGTGCGTCCCCATTGCACGGGTTGACCAGAGCGGGTGGACATCGTGGCCCAGGCCGTGACATCTCCCCGGCTCTCGTGGCCCCCTCTCCTTCTCGAAATGCGTCCCCTGGCCCCCCCCCCCAGTTCCCCCCCCCCCGTCCGCGCAAGTGCCTCGGGCCGCGGCCTGCGATCCCCCCTCCTGGACGCCCCCCTCCTGGAAGCCCCAAGGAGGAGGCGCGGCCAGAGGGAGGAGTACCCTGACCCCCTTGCTGCGTGGAAGTGGCCGTCGATGCGCCCCAGGACCGCAGGAGAACGACTCAGGATGAGAGTCTGCCCCCCTGCCGGTGGTCGAGACCTCTGGGGGTCCACGCTGCGAAAGCGTCTCGACGTCGGGGACCTGGGTGTGGCGACCCTGTCCAGCTGTTGGGGGGTGGCCTCCCCTCGGGGCAGAGGAGCGCTGCATGCCGAGTGTTTTCCCCACGGCAGCGGGCAGAGCGCTGCGAGGCCGGTTGTGTCCGCAAAGCCTGTGGCCCCGAGTGCGGCTCGCGTTCGAGGCTCGCGTTACACCTCCGCCACCAGGGTGCCTGGCGTAGTGCGGGGACAGCGAGCCTGTTCTCGCCGATGCGCAGGCGCACGAGCCTTGGGCACGTGATTCAGCCTGCGAGCGAGGG